CTGACCCCACAAACCTCGCACCAGCTCCGCGTGGCAGGTGGCATCATCCCCACGGGACAGACGAAGGCCCTGCAGCTCAGCCTGTGGTAGGCTCAGTGATGATCCCCAACAGGCCCGTGTCCTCAGTCCTGGAGCCTGAGACTGTGACTTTACATGGCAAACACTTTAAGGACCTTGAGGTGGGGAGATCACCCTGGCTTGTCCGTTAGACCCTAACCGTAACCACAAGGGGTTCTTAGAAGAAGGAGGCGAATGGAGACGAGGTGCAGAGGAGAAGGTGGCGGCGCCAGGCGGGGCAGAGACCGGGGTGGCGCTGCCACACGCGAGGGAGTGCGGGCAGCCCCGGGAGCCAGAGGAGGCAGGGAGCGGGGTGTCCCCTCCATCCCCCGGCGGAGTGGAGCCCTGCCACCATCTTGGCGATCTGGGGCCTCCAGAACTGTGCACGAGTAGATTTCTGTCGTTCGGGGCCACCAAGTTTGAAGTCACTTGTTATGGCAACAATGGGAAACCAGCACCGGCGATAAACCAGTTCAGCGAGCAGCAGAGGTGGGAAATCCGCGAACTTTCTCCTAGGATGCTCATCCCAGAAAACCAGGAGCCTTTCACGGTTCTGCCGAAATGGTCCCGCAGCAGAGTCGGCTGGGCCCAGGACAGCAGGCAGAGAACCCCAGAAGGCCACAGGCATCGGGAGTGGCAGGCGGGCTCCAGTCGGGACCCTAGAAGGGCCACCTCCCACTTCAAGCGAGGGCCAAGGCATTAGGCGGCCTCAGCAACTGCTCTTATGTGGGGGCTTAGCCACCCCGGGCCAAAGCAGAGTGGGGGGAGTGGCGGGCAGCCTTCCTCTTCCCCGCTTCTTCTGGCAGCAGCTCCCCATTTTCCTTCTGGGGATCTACCTCACCCCGGTGTAGGCCGAGGCCCATCCTCCCCTGCGGTACACCCGGAACACCCTCCAGGGGTGCATCTCTTACCCCATGTGCCACCCAGAGCCACATAGCCACCCTGCTTCTGTCCCTCATGTGAGTTTCCCATCTGCTCTGTGAGGTGCCCCAGAGCCTTCCGGTCAATTTCTTTGTTGTTTGTGTTTGTTTAAAGTAACCATAGTCCGTTTTTACCAAAGATACCAGGGCCATGGGGCCCTTTCTCTATAATCTACTGTTTTACGGAAAATTTTAGCCAGATATCAGAAAGGACTTTATTTTCGATGCCAGGTCCCTAAAGTAATAAGCACATTATTTTTAAAAATTAGTGGATGCCAGGAGATAGACATCGGTTCAACGAGATTTTCAGCAAAGGGCTTTATTTTCTACCTGGGCCTCTCTCCTAGGAATCAACTGTTTCTACTGTCTCTGATCAGGGGTCCTTAACTCTCTCGCCCCCCACCCTGCTGTCTCCCTCTCCTCCTCTGTCCTGAAGAGGAGAGCCCAGCGTTGGGCACCGGGGGTACACCCCTGTCACACCCTCCAAGATGACGGACAGGGAGGACACTCAGCGACAACGTTTCCTCCCTCATTTGGGGCGCTGAGAAGTGGGGTTCCCCTGTATCCTAATGTATTCCCATGTCACGAGGGAGTAAAACTTTTCCCAGGCTGATCTCCGGCGACAGCCCTCTGCTGTGGTGGGAGCTGGGACCTGAGGGCCAGGGAACTGAGTTACCAGCGTGACCCGGCCACAGAGCCCCCTCCGCCCAGCTGGCCACCAGACCACAGGCCAGATGCCATCGGTACTAGTCGCCAGCGGCAGCCCCTGCGGAGCACAGAGTCCCGGTGGGCAGCCCCTTGGGGAAGCGAGTCCCAGGGCCCGCCTCCCTCCAGCCCGTCTTTGTGGAAACCGCTTCCCAGGTGCTCTGCGCAGTACTCACAGTCCCCGGTGCCCTGGAGTCTCCCGAAGACGCTTGCTCTCCGCTCAGCCCCCGCCCCCGCCCGCCAAGGGGCCTCCTGAGCTCCAGCAAGCGGCCTGGGCTCCCGGCCCGGCTGTCTCCAGGGAAGCGGCCTTTGGTCCCCATCTGGGACAAGCCTCCATGCCCAAACATGGTCAAGTCTGAGCACAGGGCGCCAGGACACAGACTTGAGAGCAGGTACCCCATCCGGGAGAAGGGAGAGGCAGCTGCTGCCCCAGCCCTACACCTGCATATCCCGGTCTCCTGGGAAACAGGTTTCAAACAACAGCAGACGCAAAACAGGACGCCCGAACCAGCATCCCCGTGCGCTCACACACATTTCTTCCTTGCCAGTCTCTCTGGGCCGGCAGAGAGAGGCCAGGAATGGGAAATGATTTTCTTTTTGCTGACATGGGGCGGGGAGGAGTTGAAGCTCAGAGGGGTTGGGCTTGGCAGCCGCTGGGGTGGGGCTGGCATGTCCCCTCCTGCGCAGCCGGCCCTCCTGCCTTAACACTTGCATGCTGTGTGACCCCGGGATGGTCTCTGTACCTCTCTGAGCCTCAGTTTTCTCACCGGTGCTGTGAGGATTTTTAAAACGTACTTCGTTCAGGGTGGTGATGAGGGTTGGCTCCACTATGTTTTCAGCCAGCCAGGGCCAGGGGTAGCCTGCCCTGCTGGGAGGCCTCCCAGAGATGGTCAGAGCATGGTTTAGAGTCATTGCAGAGGTCTGTTCCTGTCAGTAAGAGAGCGAGCATCAGCACCTGCAGGCAAAAGCATGCTTCTAGATTTTTCCATCTCTTCACCCGTCAAATAGTCATCGTGAAGATTAAAAATCAGCGACAAAAACAAGCCCCGTATTCTGGTCCTCTGCTAGCTATCGGGCATGATGTCACTACCCCTCACTTTACCCAACGGTGAGATGCAGAAGCCGAATCCGAGCCTCGGAGGCTTTAAGTAAGCCGTCCAAGGTCGCCCTGCTCTAGCACGAGAGCCGGACTCAAAGCTGGCCCTTCCAGATGGCAAAGCCTGGGCAGTCTCCACTGAGCCTGTTCCTGCCCTGAGACAGAGCAAGTGACACAGTCGCCTGCCGCCTGAGGTTCTGGAGGGCACCCCGCGTGCAGCCCACCCCCAGGGAGGCGGCTGCGGCTTGGCCATGCTTGCCAAATGAGTACCGCCACCTCCCTCACTCCCGCCTCTGCCACCCTCAGGCAGCCAGCCCAGTGGGCTAGGACATGAGACCAGCAGGCCTCCTGACGCTCTCCCCAGCAGCACGTCCCCTCCTGCCCCTTGACAAATTGAATCATAGTCCGCCACCTCCCTCACTCCCGCCTCTGCCACCCCCAGGCAGCCAGCCCAGTGGGCTAGGACATGAGAGCAGCATTCAGGCCTCCTGACGCTCTCCCCAGCAGCGCGTCCCCTCCTGCCCCTTGACAAATTGAATCATAGTAACTGGAGAATCAATTGTCTGTTTAATGGACATCATAGCAAAGGGAGCCACTTAAGGCCTTAGATTTCGTAGGCGGACTGACAATGAGAAGCACAGGGCCTAGAATGAGTCCCCAGAGGAGTGATTTTCCGAGGATGGTCCTTGGTTAGTTCAGGGGCCCGGAAAGTCCTTCTGTGGCCCACGATCTAATGCAGAGATGCCAGGCCTCCCTCCCACTACCTGAGTGACAGGAGGCCATTTTTAAGCAAGACCAAAGGGTTACTTGCTCCTAATCAACTAAATGAGTTATGAAGTTTGCACGTTTGAAATATATAAACATCAGCATTCTCGCCAAGGTTCTTTTCTTCTTGGAAGATGGGAACAGGCAAGGAAGCAAGGGGCAGTGGGTATGAGCTCTTCTGCAGTGAAGTGAGCCCCAGCCTTGCTTTGGGGGGCATGTGGATGACAGCCCAGGTCCCTGGCTGGCTGTGGGGTTGTGTGTGACTGGGGGTTGTAGGTGGAGGGTAAGGACATAATGATGCTACAATAATAAAGACGTGATTCGCATTAGCACAAGGTGTAGAGTTCACAAAATACCTTCCCCCGCGGGCTCACATTAATCTCTTCGGTTAGAGTTTTTATTATCCATTTTATAGAGAGGGTGACTGAGGTTCAGAGAGGTTAAATAAATTGCCCAAGGCTACTTATATGACCTCTCTGAGCCTCAGGTTGTCCATCTCTAGAACGTAGCTAATTATACCCGGACTCTCAGTGTTTTTCGAGGAATAAGAGATCATCTCAGCTGCCTGGCTGAGATATGGGCAGATCGCATTTTCCAAAGATGGCCACATCAGCACATGTCCCATCGTATGTGTCCTTCTTTCAACGTGCCAGCCACACTCCTCCGTCAAGGGTGGGTGTCGGCGACCTCTCCCCTGCAGCCTCGGCAGGGCTTTGTAACTGCCTTGCTGATAGAATGTGGTAGAAATGACGCTGTGCTTTTCCAGGCAAAGTCATAAACAGTGATTCCGCTTTCACCGGGCACTCTCTCCCTGGACACTTCCCGTCGAGCCTGCCTCCGTACTGCGAAAAAGCCAAGAGGTCTGACGTGGGTGTTCCAGCTGACGCCCAGCTCGGTGGTCAGCCAACAACCAGCATCTCCCACCAGGCGTGACAGTGGGGGAGCCTGCAGATGATTCCAGCTCCCAGGCTTCAAGTCCCCCAGCTGAGGCCTCAGACATCATGGAGCAGAGACCAGCCGCTGCTTTGTGCTCTCTCCCAGTGTATGCACACGCGTGCACACACACAGATTCATGCAGCTCGCACACGTGTGCACACACACACACAGATTCATGCCGGCACGTTCCTCTCAGCAACGCTCACAAGAGGACTTCTTATTTCTGCTATTTGCCCAGGGTCACTCCGCTGGCCTGAGATGCGATGAGCCTGGATGTGCACCTGTGCTCGCCGACGCCACAGGCCGCCCCTGCCCCGGCACGATTCTGCCCCGCCCTGTTTTTGAGAGGACGGGCGTTCCTCTGTGACATCTGCTTCAGC